TCTTTCTTTCTTTTTTTTTTAAGAGAGATGGAAATCTTTTTCACGGACCCCGGGTCTTTTTGCCACTCTGCCTGTCATTTACATAGCTCGCACATACATCACCAAGAACCACACCCCCCCGCCACAAACGCCCAATGGGTAAATTCCCCTCCTTCTCCGTGTCACCCCAAGCCCACCCCCAGCCGCGAAAACAGACGGTCTAGTAGATCCTGGGGGCTCTGCACGGCCTCCCCTTCCACGCGTCCCCGGCTTGGGAGGATTTATCTGAGCTGGAGCATTAGGGGGAACGTAGTGGGGCTGGCGGTGGCGTGTGTGTGTGTGTGTGTGTGTGTGTGTGTGTGTGTGTGTGTGTGTGAGAGTGTGCGCATTTGGGGTAACAACAAAGGGGGTTGGGGGAGCCAGTGAGAGAGCGCGAGCCTGTTTTGCCTCGAAGGCAAGACTTGCAGCCAATCAGCGCGCAGGAGCCTCCCTCCGCGACTCCCAACATTGAGTCTATAACCGGCTGGCCGGGCGGAGCTGGCAGCATTTGTGACTGTGGCTGGGGACGCGCAGAGAGGCACGCAGCGACCGACCGACCGACCGACCGACCGACGGCCGGCGATGGTCTAGGCGCCCCTCGGCCGCCCCCTCCCCCGGACGCCCCCCAGGCAGGCCCTGCCCTCGCCCCCCGGCCCGGGCTCCTCCGCCTCCCTCGGCGCTCCCGTCCTCCCGCTCCAGCGCTCCACCTCCTCCTCCTCCGGGGAGGCCCGGGGAAGCCGCGGCGGCCGCCAGCATGAGCGGCTCGTTCGACCGCAAGCTCAGCAGCATCCTCACCGACATCTCCAGCTCGCTCAGCTGCCATGCGGGCTCCAAGGACTCCCCCACCCTGCCCGAGTCTTCGGTCACGGACCTGGGCTATTACAGCGCCCCCCAGCACGACTACTACTCGGGCCAGCCCTACGGCCAGACGGTGAACCCCTACACCTACCATCACCAGTTCAACCTCAACGGGCTCGCGGGCACTGGCGCCTACTCGCCCAAGTCGGAATACACCTACGGGAGCTCGTACAGGCAGTACGGGGCGTACCGGGAGCAGCCCCTGCCCGCCCAGGACCCAGGTGAGAAGCCCCGGGCTTGCCCGGGGATGGGGGCCCGAAAGCTCCCGGAGGGGAAGAGGCGGAGGGGGAGACGGATGGTGGCCCCTCCGGGTTGGGGGGGGGGGCGCGCCCTCCCGGAGATCCCGGGGAAGCTGGGCCCATGGGGCGCGCCCCCGGGGTGGTTAGTGGGGACCTCTCTACGCTGCCACCCCGCTGGCACCCGAGCCCGCCGCCTGAGACTGCAGCCCGGGGTCTCCGAGCGGCAGCCAGCGAGGGCTAGGGCCGGGGGGGACGGGGGGGGTCCCAGGACCCTTCCTCTGGGCGCCGTCTGGGGGAGACCCGGAGGTAGTGAAAGGCACGTGGAGAAGGACCAAAAAGGAGTCCCAGAAGTGGGGGGAGGTGAGACGGAGAAGTCGAGATGAGGAGGAAGAGCAAGGTGGGAACAGCGAGAGAGAGAGAGAGAGAGAGAGAGAGAGAGAGAGAGAGAGACTTAGACAGAGACAGAGAGAGAGAAATGTGAGGGAGACAGTGAGGAAAAGCACGGAAGAAAGGGGAAGGAGGGAAGGAAGAGAAAGAAAAAGAAGAGAAAGGAAAGAAGGGGAGCGAGGAAGGAAAAGAAAACAGAGAGAAAGGAAAAAGAGAGAGAGAGAGAGAGACGTCGGTACTGGTCTTGCACTTTTTTTTTTTTCTCCCTAAGCCAAATTGTCCTGAACTAGGAAGCTTTTTTAAACAGGGGATGGGAGGACGAGGGGCGGGAGACGCCCCGGCCGGCTAGCTGGGTCACTGAGGACGGTCCGCGGCCGGGCGGCCGAGCCGGGAGGGCGTCCTGGGCGCAGCGGTCCTCGCCCAGCCGCCGGCGCCGGCGCTCCGAGGCCCGGGTGCGGAGCTGGCAGCGCCGCGTCGTGGGCGGCCGCCGGGCGGGCCGGGTGGCCGCGGCTCCCTCCCCGGGCGCGGGCGGCCCCGCGCTCCTCCCGGGCAGGTCCCGGGGATGGTCGGCTGGGCCTGGGAGGGCGCGGCGTCCGGCGGCGGTGGGCGATCTCGGGGAGGGGAAGGGGGGTGTCGCAGGCTGAGACTCAGCTCCCTGGTTTCCCCCCTCTGCAGTGTCGGTGAAAGAGGAGCCGGAAGCCGAGGTGCGCATGGTGAACGGCAAACCCAAGAAGGTCCGAAAGCCGCGCACCATCTACTCCAGCTACCAGCTGGCCGCCCTGCAGCGCCGCTTCCAGAAAGCCCAGTACCTGGCCCTGCCCGAGCGCGCCGAGCTGGCTGCACAGCTGGGCCTCACACAAACCCAGGTCAGTCCTGACCGCTCGGGGGGGGGGGGGGGGGATGGCGTCTGGAGGCAGATGGGGGCACGACGGACTCCCTAGGTATCGGGGCGCCTGGCTGGCCGCTTGAGTACAACCCCCACCCCCGGCCCCCTGCAGCCAACTGCAGGGACTCTTGCCTGTGGGTTGTGGGATTGTGAGTCCACAGGAAGGGTTAGAGTAGCCAGCCCAGGAGGGTGCGGTGTTCACCTATGCAGCTGTGTATGCTGTCACAGAGAGATGCCCTCCCCTGCACCCCGGGACTCCTAGCACCCGAGACCCTCAGCATTGTTGTAGGACCTAGGAGTCCCTGCTGTCTTTCTCCAAGGCCAAGCATGTACGTGTAGGGCATACGTGTGACATGTCAGAGAAAACTCACATGAGCAGTGAGGTCCTTTAGGGATCATTCGAAAACAGAACACGCGGAACAACAATTAGCTCTCTCTCTCTCTCTCTCTCTCTCACACACACACACACACACACACAAATGTATGTTTGTGTAAAAAACAGCGTCTTGCTTCACTAGCACCCAAATGCCTCTACCAATGGTTAAGACCTAGACTTAGAGATCAGAAAGCCTGAGTCCACCCCACCCTCTTCATGTCCCTAAACCCCAAGCAGCCTCACTGCTCTGGGGAGGAATGTCGGGTGCCTGGCTCGCCACAGGTGTTGACAGGCTGGCTTTGGTGGCGGCTGGGCTGCGGCTGGGCTGCGTGGGGCCTGGTCCACCGGGAATCTGGGTCACCTGGTGAGGAGCTGATTCATTGTTTGTACCAGTCATGGGGTGGAGAGGAGCAGGGGGGGAGGGGGAGATACCCCAAGGGAAACCTAGGGACTCAGAAATCGTGGCTCACCTGCTCCTGAGTCCCCCAACACCCAGCCAGTGTCTAGGAGCCCTTCATGCCTGTGTGTGTGCTGTGTGTGTGTGCGCGTGTGTGAACGTGGGTGTTTGCATTGTCGGTGCTTATCTGGGTGTATCTGCGAGAGTTTATAGCTTTGTCTGGTGGCTGTGTGAGGCTGTGAGTGGGTATGTTGCCGGGTATGGAAATACCTGTGTGGGTGTATGTTTGTCCCCAGTGTATGTGTGAGCCTCAGGTAAGGGACTCTAATGAGGGCAAAACGCCACAAACGCCCTCGTGTCCCATTCAGGGTGCCTTTGCTGTATAGCAGACCATTCGCGTTTTCTGTGTCTTGACTTTCTTGAGCTTTATATCGACCCTTTGAGATAGGTGTTGTCACGGTCCCCATTTTGCAATGAGAGGGAGGTGAGGCCGGAGAGGTTAAGTAACCTGCCTGAGGTCGCACTTGGGAAGCAGCAAACTGGCCCAGCAGAATATCCCGAGCCACAGTGCTTTCCCAACTGGAAAGGAAGATGCCGGCTTGGGAAGGAGGGCCCTGGGGCTTTGACCAGTTTTTCCCACATGAGTGCTGCTCTTGCCTTCTCCAGGCTGTGTTCTCCGTGGACTTTCCCTTTGGCCTCCTAAGAGGCTAACCGGTTGTTCTTTTCTTCTCCCGTCCAGGTGAAAATCTGGTTCCAGAACCGCCGCTCCAAGTTCAAAAAGCTCTACAAGAATGGGGAGGTGCCGCTGGAACACAGTCCCAACAACAGTGACTCCATGGCCTGCAACTCGCCGCCATCACCGGCACTCTGGGACACGTCTTCCCACTCCACTCCGGCCCCTACCCGCAATCAGCTGCCCCCGCCGCTCCCGTACAGTGCCTCTCCCAACTACCTGGACGACCCCACCAACTCCTGGTACCACGCACAGAACCTCAGCGGACCCCACTTACAGCAGCAGCCACCTCAGCCAGCTACCCTGCACCATGCCTCCCCGGGGCCCCCGCCAAATCCTGGGGCTGTGTACTGAGCGTCCTCCCGGCCCGTGCCAGCTCCCCAGCCCGACGAAGGACCCCCCCCAGGACCAGGCAGAAGGTGCCCTGTCCTAGCGACACTCAGGAATCATCAAGGGGCCCAGGGGAAAGACTCCCTTCCCCATCCCTTGTCCCTTCCTCCAGGGACCTAAGAACCTCCAGATGATGCATGGACTGCGGATACCCCCATTCCCTCCCTCTGCTTAGACTGGGGTGCCCTCCAGATGTTGGGGCATTCCACCCCAGTGGGGGACAGCCCATGCCCTCTGCTCCAGGAACCTGGATTGCCTCTAGATGGCTCGTCACTTTCCTGCTTTGCAGACGAAGCAGAGACCTCCAAAAAGGGGGGGAGCCGGAGTGCTCGCCTGCTTGTGCCGGGGCACCAGGCACCACAGATTCCAGCACTGCCAGGCCCTAAACCATCTGGGGCAGCCAGCTGCTCTGGAGCCACTCTTTTAAAGACGTTGGACATCACTGTCAGGGCTGAACATCAAGGTGGCGGCCTGACCTAGCACCCACTGTTCTCCAGCCCTCGTTTAAGATTTTGAGGGTCAAACCAAAGAAGATGCCCCCACATGAGGGAGCCTTTTTAATATCCAGGGCTTTCGAGGGAAGACTCAGGAAACCTTCTCTCCATCCCTTCCCTGGCGAGAAGGGCTGCCTGTGTCTTTTCCTAAGGACCGATTTCTTCTTCCATGTACAGGGACTTTTGCACAACTCTGGTTTTAAAAGCTGTTGAAACGTAGGACAACAAAGGGCATTGTTAACAGTTAGGACCAAACCCCACTCATCTCTCCGGGGCTTGGGGCATCTCTTGTTCTGCCCTGCCCCAACTTCACTCCTTCCTTTTCTCCCAGTAAGTTGGCAGTCTGGGGGTCAGACCCCAACTCTCATGTGCCAGGCAAGACAAATCCCCCCAAACACCCCCTTCATGGCAGCTTTGGAGACAGATTGCTTCCACTCCACTGCAAAAATGCAAGCGAGGAGCCAGGAGACGAGAGGAGGCCTAGAACTCAGTGCCTTAGGGGTGAGGCTGGTGGCTTGGACGGCTGGTTCTAGTGTCTCTCCCTGGCCCAGGTGTCCCCCACCCCACCCCCTCCCCCAAGCTAACCTTCTTCTGCCCCTTATGTGGTAAAACATCGAAGAAAAGGAGAGGTAAAAGACTGTAGTTATATATATAGTATTTTTTTTTTTTTTAAGAGCAACCAAGAGAAGCAGCCTCCTCCCTTGTGGTTTCCTATTTATGTGACCCTGCTCCTCATGGACCAATCTCCCTGCATGTTGCAAGCTGAAAAAGAGGGATGTGGGCTCCTGCTGGATTTGGGTTTCGTGGGAGGTTGCAGGAGCAAGAAGAGATGTGGTGGGTCTCCGAGTCCCACCCTGAAGGGACAGGAATGAAGCCAGCTCCCACCCCTCCCCAGCCTTCTCCTTTCTGCTTTCTTACTGGACCAGTCTTTATATATAATGTTAATAAAAAAAAAAAAAAAAAAAAAAAGAAGAAGAAGAAGAGGAAAATAACCATGGTGCTCTTTGAACTGGATACTAGTGGCAGGCAGCTCTCTCTCGAGGGCAGGCCTGGAGTTGGGGGAGGCGTTGAGGGGGAGAGACCCCTCTGAGCTTCTAGGGGCTGCTGAGAAAGAGAAGGCCTGGGTGGAAAGTGCTGGTGGGATGCCGGGCTCAGGCTGGGGGCAGGTGTTCCTGACCCTGTGGCTGCCCATACTGTGAGCAGGCTCCTAAGCAGAGCTTCCCCCACTCTGCTTGGTGGCTTAGCATTCTCTGTCAGCCAGCTGTCCTCTACCACCGCCATGGCTGCTGCCAGGTCACCTCGGGGCTGCTTTTTGATCTTGAGCTCACACATAGACATGCTTGCACACGCGTGTAAAAACCCCTGCCTCCACGCCCAGGCACTCCCAGCCCCTCACCCAGCTGTCTATCCCTTTTAGCTTGGGTGAGGGTGGGATCGGCAGAGCGGGACTGTTCCTATAGCTGGTGGGGACCTCAGACTGGGCTTGGGAAACATTGAGCTTAGGGGAAGGGGGTCTGTGTTTCCCTTCTTGGGAAGGGTGTGGCCCTGACTCAGAATCTTCTAGATGCTGTTACTGACTGCCTATGCTGGAAATGCTGAGCCTTTCTTCCAGATCCCGACGCCAAGGCTTCTGAGAGGAGGATGAATGTGTGTGTGTGATTGTGTGTGTGTGTGTGTGTGTGTGTGTGTGTGTGTGTACCAGGAGGCGGCACAGATGCCTGACTACACTCTACAGCTTTCTATCAGCTAGGCACATAGTGACATCTCTTGTCACATATACATGTAGTCCCAGTTGAGGAGAACTGTCACCCTTTGAGGAAAATGACACCCCTCACACCAAAGACAGTTAGGCCTCCAACACACAAGTGCAGAATACCCTTAGGTTTCCCCATGGTGAGACACACACAGTGCACAGAAGCAGTCCTGTTAGAAAGTCAGTGACAACAGCCAGCCACCCAGCTCAGCCTGGAACCACAGGTCAGGTCTTAGTGTCCTATCCAGTGGAGCCTCTGGGGGGCTATGTGGCGGAGACACAGCAGAGATGTCAAGACAGAGGATGGGCCTGGCTCCCAGCGCCCACCACAGGGAAGCCAGGTCCTCAGGACAGGACCTCAGCCCCAACCCCGGCCTGAGCCTCTCTAAGAAGACCTCACCCTCCCTGCAAGCCAGCCAGGGAGGCTCGGGGGAGGAGGCCACGCCCATGGGACTGGCTCAGACTAGTAAGGGTTAAGCTGGCAGCTGCCAGGCGGGGCTGCCCGGAGCTTTTTGGTTTGAGGGCTGCGCTGCGTGCAGGCAGGAGCAGCGAGGCGGCAGCCGGGCAGACTCGCTGGAGACACTGCATTTTATTAGGGCTGGGCTGCCAGCAAAGGGAGGGAGAGAGGAGAAAAGGGCAGAGAGAGGAAGGAAGGAGGGAGGCTGGGCGGGCAGGCGGGGCGGGGACGGGATGAAAGGATGTTGTAAGGGCCTAATTCCTCCCAGCTCATCCCAGCTCTGTCAGGCTGGATTAACTGCCCAGGTGACCTCCTGCGGGGGTCAACCCCACCCCTGACCTCCCCTTCCTCCTCTCCTTACCTCCAGGCCCACCTCTAGGCCAGGGGTCAGCTTACCCTTCACCTACCCTGATGAGGGGCCCATGGAGACAAGAGCTTGGGGGAGGGGCCTGGCAGCATGCCAAGGTGGGACCACAGAGCCCACCTGCCTCCGGCAGCTGCCTGACTGCACACTGTCTCCTCCTGACAATCTTCAGGGAAGAAGGGGCAGGCTAGGGAACCCCAGGCTGCCTGAAGGTCACTGCTTTCCAAGTCTTAATATTACATAACAGGGGGGCGCTGGAGAGATGGCTCAGTAGTTAGGAGCACTTGGCTGCTCTTCCAGAGGACCTGGGTTCAATTCCCAGCACCCACGTGGCAGCTCCCAACTGTCTGTGACTCCAGTTCCAGGGACCTGACAAAACACCAAGGCCCACGGAATAAAAATAAATAAGTTTAAAATATATTACGCATCAGGTGGCATTTGTTAAAATACCTGATGAGTGACAATTTGGCAGGTGAGTGGGAAAGTGTCCATTTTTCAGACAAGGAGGACTGAGGCCCCAGCTGTGGGGGACTTCATGCTTAGCATACGGGAGGCCTTGGATCCAACACCTAGCACAAGAACAAAAAAGGAGAGAGAGGTGGGGTGGAAAGAAGAGAAAAGCTGGGTATGGTAGTTCAGTTCAGGTCTATAACCCCAGCAATCTGGGGGCTGCAACAGGAGACTTGAGAATTTAGGGTCAGCCTGGACTAAATAGGGAATTCAAGGCCATTCCTGAGCTAGATAATAAATTCAAGCTATTCTGGGCTACATAGTGAGAACCTGCAGAGAAAGAAAGAATGAGAGAGAGGGAGAGAATGAGCCAGGTGGTGGTAGCGGCAGAGGCAGATGGATCTCTGAGGTCTATAGATCAAGTTCCAGGACAGCCAGGGCTACACAGAGAAACCCTGTCTCAAAAAGAACAGACACAGAGAGAGAGAATAAAAACTGAGGCTAAAGAGTCTGTTGAGGTCACAGCAAATCCAAGACAGAGCTGGGATTTGAACCCAGGTCTGCAAGAGCGTGCATACCCTTGATGGCCTTTCTGTCCCAGTCAATCCTAAGCACTGGCAGTGTCAGAAAGCTAGAGTCTCTGCAGCTCCACCCACCCATCCCACGTGATTGGCCCTGCAGCAAGCTTCTTCCCAGGAGAGGTCGGCCGGGAGGGAGGGCCAGCTTCCTCTGGGCAAGTCCTAAGAAAAGCTTAACACCGTGGCAAGGAATGTACACTCTGGAGTCTTTTGGATCCTGCCTTCATGACTCTACTGGCTGTGTGACGGTGGCCTTTCTGAACTTAGGTCTCCTCACGTCCCTGTGATACAGCAATGCTCCTACCAACCAACAGATTAAGTGGGATCACCTGAGTAAAATGCTTAACAAGGCACCCAGCACTTGCTGAACCTGCTCAGTGGATGGAAGTAGCTGCTGGCAATTCAGCTCCTCACCAGGCTCTCCATTCAGCCTTGAACCTCACTACACTGATAGCCTTGGCACACTGATTGATCCACCGCTCTGGGTGCCTTTGGAAAGGGTGGCTGGCCCCTGTTTCCCCAATGTTCGGCAGGCACGGGTGGCCACAGCCTGTGGGAGGACAACAGACCCTGAGCTGAGACCTCCAGGACCAGAAGCAGATGCTAGGGCTGGGGAAGCCGGGGCAGAAGGGAAGGAAGCCTTCAAGGGCTGCGTTAGAGGAGGGGTTGTTTGTATAGTGTCTTGAGTGATAGGTGCATGCCACGCAAAGGCAGACGTGGGCTTGAGCAGCACTCTCCCAGGACAGCTCCCCCACCCCATGCACACACACCTGCAGTACATCTCCCATGGGATGGAAAGGAACAAATCTTATGAGAGAAGCAGAAGGCAGCATCTTGGGATCCATCAGGCCAGAGCTGATCAGGGAGG